AAAAATAATGGAGATGATTTACATCTCTATCGTTGGGTATAAAGAGAAGCACCTACAAATCGAGCGTTGTTTTATTAAACAATGTTTTAATAATTAGTGAAAGAATGTTTCAGTTCTTAAAAAAAAAGTGAAATACAGTCGGATTGCTAGATGAAATAAATTTAGTTAAACATATGCAATAAATGATTTAAGCCATTTTAAGAGTGTTCCAGTTCTTAGAAAATAGAGAAAAACAATTGGATCGCTAGATGAAACAATTTGGTTCATCATATGAAATAAAATGATTTAAGCCATTGAAAACATCAACAAGATCCGAGAAAAAAACAAAGAAAAAAATGAAACACCATCGGAAACCCCGTTGAAACACTTTGGTCTAAAAACACAAAAAAACACATAGGAGGAGGGCACCCGCGGACGAAGATGTTAGAGTTCCGCCTATGAGTGTCATCTCCCTAGCCATCGGAGGACCGCTTGAGAAAGGCACCGCAGTCCGCAGTCGCTGTTGCCTCCTTCAGCCTGCAAGTCACTGCCATGGGCTCAACCGCCTCCTCCCGTGGGCCTCCTCGCGCAAGTCACCGAAGCCGCCGCCACAGCCGCACCCTCCTCACGTAGGTCGCCGCCACCACCGCCTTCTTTTGCCCGTGATTCACAGCCGCCTCCTGTTGTGGGCCTCCTCGCACGGGTGGTTGCCGACGCCTCCTCCTGCCGTGGGAGTTGCTGCCACCGCAACCTCTTCGTCCCGCGGGTGCCGCCGCTACTGCCGCTGCTGCCGGATCAGAGCTTTGGGAATGGTGGTTTGGGACTTTGGGAAGAAGAGAGTGAACGGTGAGAGAAAAGAAGGGTGGAGGTGAGTGGATAAGATAGATAAGGGTAGAGGTGAGTGCAGGGGGCCCGATATTCTCTCTTCTCATCAGGCGCCCGGATGGAGGCGTTTTCGAAATTCTTGCTTAAAAAAGATCAACTCATATACCGTTACCAAAATCACATATATTCTTAGTAGCACGTAATTATGTAGGTACTATGCTACCCAAAATAGTATAAAAGATGCTACACCATTTCCAAGTAAGTTGCACCACCGTGCATTATAGCATACTGAATAATCTTTCAAAGTTATATGTAATTAATTTTTACGATAAATTAGCTAGGATACCTCAAACGAAAGGGCATATATGGATATCATTTCGATGAATAGAACCAACTTCAACCATGAAAATCTATCCATAATAAAAATATATTAGAATTTTTGGTCTGTCATCTCATTCGTGCACATGCTCGCGCTGTCCAATTCCGTCACCACGCGGTTTCATCCATCACACCATATTTAGATGGGGCTAAAACTTTTTAGCCCATGTCACATCGGATGTTTGGATGCTAATTTAGAGTATTAAACATGGACTAATAAAAAAACTAATTTCATAAATGAGAGCTAATCCGCGAGACGAATTTTTTAAGCCTAATTAATCCATAATTATCAAAAGTTTACTGTAGCATCACATTGTCAAAATCATGGTGTAATTAGACTCAAAAGATTCGTCTCGCGAATTAGTCCAAGCTTATGGAATGGGTTTTGTAATTAGTGTATGTTTAATACTCCAAATTAGTGCCAAACATCCGATGTGACAGGGACTTAGAATAAGTCCATGTAAACCAAACAGCCCTAAACCACATAAGGCCCGCAAACGTAAGCGATCAAACCCGCAAGTCAAATATGAACTCTATGTCGCATCCACGACCACATGACACTACTGGAAAAAAGATTTTTCCATGCGGCCCAAAACCATTTTCACAGGCGGGGGAGAGGACCGCCGCTACCATCTCGACTGTGAAAATGGACCATTTTCGCAAGCGGACCCGTGGCCCGCCTGCGAAAATCATCTCAGGAAAAAAAAAACCACTGGGCGCCGCTGGCCAGGGCTCCCCTCCGTTCGCTGCTGTCGGCGCCGTCATCGTCGTCGTCGTCGCGGCGGCGGAGGGGGCAACGAGATGAAGCGGCCGGCAGAGGCGGCGAGGAGAGAAGCCGGCGGCCGCGGAGGGATGCGGAGGCGTGTGCGTCGTCGCTCGTCGTGGCCGGCGGCAGAGGGATGCGGCGGCGCGCGGACGTCGTCGTGGAGGGAGGCAGCCGGCAGCGAGGAGGGATGCGGCGGCGCGCAGACGTCGTCGTGGAGGGATGCGGCAGCGCGGACGTGGGAGAGGAGGGAGCCGGCGGCGTGCGGATCTGGAGCGGAGGGAGCCGTCGGCGGCGTCGCGGTCATCGTCGTCGTCGAGGAGGGAGGCCGCTGGCGGCGTGGAGGGAGGCGGCGGCTCGCGGACGTGGGAGAGGAGGGAGCCGGCAAGGAGGGAGGCGGCGGCTCGCGGACGTGCGGCGGCTCGCGGACGTGGGAGAGGAGGGAGCCGGTGAGGAGGGAGGCGCGAGGAGGGAGCTGGCCAATTTTTCCAAGTGTGGGAGAGAGAGAGGAGGGGGAGGGAAATGAGTGGTGGAGAGGAGAGGATAAGGATGGTGGAGGAGAGGATAAGGATGAGGATGACTAGATTTTTTTTGGTAGATACTATTTTTGCAGGCGGACCACATAAGGTGCGCCTGCGAAAATCTATTTTCGCAGGCGTCGCTTAAGTGGTCCGCCTGTGAAAATGATTTTCGCTGGCGCCGCTTAAGTGGATTTTCGTAGGCGGACAACGAACTTCATGCCGATTTATATTTTTTTAGGTGGTCATTTGGCTCCAAGAGTCATGTCCGACTGTGAAAATAAGACCCCCACGTCGAGGAAAATGCATTTTCTAGTAGTGTGATACGAAAACAATTACAAAATCAACACGGAGAAAGTTAGATGCAGATCTAATTTGGACTCAAAATCAAATGAAATTAACCCCATAAATACAACAATGATTCCCATGGAATCCTAATAACAAGCAATCAAACAAGCTAGAGAAATAGGTGTAATCTAACCTAATTTCATGAAGGCGGCTTTGACTTGCGTTGTCGAGCTCTATGCAGCAGTGCACGGCTTTGGTGAGCGACGGAAGCTCGATGGAATTTTCCCACCGATGTGACATGTCATAGGCGGTGGTTGGTTCATGAGGAGGCGGAGGGGGCCCATTGGGCCTCCGGCGAGGAAGCAGCGGCAAGGCTAATGGGGTGGAGGCCTCCTGGACGCGGTGGCCCTCAACGGCGAGGCTCCTGGGCATCGGTGTGTCAACGGAGATAGGCAGACGGAGTGGCGGTGGTAGATGGAGTGACTCCATGGATGAGCTCTCCTCATCATCGCCTTGGACGAGTATTTGTCGTCGGAGCTCTACCAAAGCATGCCGGACCGCCCATGCCATGGAACTTGTCGCTTGCGCCCGTCAGATTCATACCTAGCTAGGTCACCACCACCGCCGGATGTTCTACCCGCATCCCGAGCTGACACCGGATACGTCGCCTGCTGCTCACGATCGAGCTTCACCTCCTGTGGCTTGACCCTACAGCCCCGAGCTCAGCCACTAGTACCGTCGTTCATGACCTGAGCTCCACTGCCGCCAGCTATGGGAGGAACTACGCCCATGGCTCCCCTTGCCGCTGCCGGTACGCCGGTCGCGACCCTAGCTTCGCCACTGCTAGTTGTGGGAAGAACTCCGCCCATGGCTCCCCTTGCTGTCCCTGCCACCCCTCTCGTCGAATCGACCATCTTGTCGAACCGAGAGAGGGATGAGAGGCTGAGGGAGAGCTGGATCTGTGTTTGAGCCTCTGAGGGAGAGGTATGGAGTAGGTGGGAACGGTGAGAAAAAAAGAGGGGGTGCTGAGGAAAAGGAGACTTAGTCTCAAGGCCACCACCTCCAAAGGCCAGATACGGCAAGCCTTAGGCTAGATCTGGTGAGGAGCGGGGCAGCGGTGGTACCCCGATGAGGAGGAGGGACCAACATTGGGGAGAAGGGAGAGCGTCGGTGAAGGGAGGGTTAGGGGGTGCTGCGGAGAGGGAGCGGCGACGCCAGTGGGGGCAGCGGATCCGGCGAGTGGGTGACGTCGGCGACCTAGCTCGGCGGCGGGGGTGCGGGCGACGGCGGCGATCCGGCAAGTGGGCGGTGATGCGGGCTGCGACGCGGGCGGTGGGATCCTCCCGCCCGGATCTGGCGGCGGGAGCGGTCGGCGACGTGGTCGGCGGCGGCGGACCTCCTCCCGCCCGAATCTAGAGGCGGCGGGGGTGGCGGGCGGCGGCGGATCTGGAGGCAGCAGGGCTGCCCGGATCTGGAGGCGGCGGGGGTGGCCGGCGACGGAACTGGTGCGGGCGGCGGCGGGAGCGGCTGACGACGATGCGGGCGGTGACGTGGTCGGTGGCGGCGGGCCTCGGGCTGCCCGGATCTGGAGGCGGGGGCGGGCGGCGGCGGGAGCGGCTGGCCGGCTAGGGTTTCCTTTTTTTTGAATTCTATTTTTTTTCGCGATTTTTTCTCTTTGCATGCGGTCGGCTTAAGCGCCCGCATGTGAAAATCAGTTGCTCTGGCTGCATGCGAAAATCGTGATCTTTACATATGATTTCGTGCATGCGGTCGGGCCAACTGCATGCGAAAATCCTTTTCGCCCGTATGGAAAGATCTATTCTGTAGTAGTGATATAGAAAATGTGTGTAATATAATTACCAAGTCGTGTAAACCTTTGGAGCAAGCATAGCTTCTTCACTAACTAACATATAATATGTATTAAATCAGACTTTGCAAAACCTTCATCCCCTTCTCATGATTTACATTACATGGTGCCCACTCATATTTGGTAGCGCTACGGAACTTGCTCTGACGACTAGAGCTCCCCCAAGCACAAGGGGTCCAATGTCCCCCATAGCATGGAATGTGCAGATATACCTCCTTGCCATCTTCTCGCTCCATTGCCTCTACATATCGCTTATGTAGTGCAATGGTCATTCTTTGCAGTGACGACGCATTCGCAAGGAGTAGAGATACAAGCTGCATTTGGTCTTGGGAAGGTCGAAAGTGATGGATATCTATACTTCGAAGGTGATCTAGTGAGAGATTCATGTCCTTCCAATCTTTAGGTTCTTCACATTTGCAGCCAGGATGTGAATCACCACCCTGCAAATTGGTGCATCAAATATGTTCACAAGAAATAGCATAGTTAATTTATGGTTAATTAATACTTGTATATTTGCTAGCTAGATTTCATATCTAAGGAAAGAAAAATCTCTTGCAAAATTACGAGATGATTTTCGTAGTCTCACCTGTTTGTTGATGTCAATGGAGAGGTACTCGATTCTGCTGCACTTCGCGACGAACTTGGCTATGCTTGCTCCAATAGTGTGTGTAGGTATGGACACTTGTGCAGTTATTCTCAACTCGGTAACATTGGGAAATTCTGGTATATCATTCATCAGATCCTGAAATAATTCAGGTAGGTCTTCGCTCTACAAATTCATATATTAGAGCTGGACAATGAAACTTCGCATGAAACAACGATATAATATTTTTCAATTTCTACACCATATTTTTTGAGAAATTTTACGGTCCTACCTCGAGTCACTTAAATCTTAGAGTGATTTCATAGTTCTTAGGAGGTATCAAGAGAACCTATTTTTTAATGTAAAATTTGGTACCTCCGGTGTTAGGAGGTATTAAATTTGTACTAAAAATCTAAAGGACGGTAATTTTTTTTCTAAATTTTATAACAAAAATTTTAATACCTCGTAATGCAGATAACAAGTTTTACACTAGAAAAATATCATACCTTTTATTATGTTCTTAAAATGGTAAAATTAACTTTTTTAAAAAAATTTAAATTTATCCATCATCAGTGTTTGAAATTTCGACCCTACCGGCAAGCACAAATCTCCCTGAGATTATCTGTTTTGTTCAAATATTTTAAAATTTGGTTAAATTTTGTTTAAATTTAGTCCAAATATGTAAAAAAAAAAATAAAAAAATGGCCAAAAAGTACCTAAATTTCGGTTGTTTTTGGCCCCCACCGGCAAAAACTAAGGTTTCGAAATTGCAAACCCTATCTAAGATCAAGGTGGAAATCAATGCTTGTTTGAAAATTTCACAAAACATATGTGATATGCCCCTTTAATTTAGTTACCTCGCCCAATGGCACAAGGAGTCGGACGTCGAGGCGATCCGCGGCGGCGTAGTGCTGAAGAAACCAGGCCAAGTCCCGGTTGTCGGCGACGCCGGAGAAGCCATGGGACAAGATGTCGATCTCCATGCGCGCGCCGTCCAGCACCATCAGGCCGCCGCCGCGGCACGTCTCGTCGCTCTCGAACGTCAGCCGCCGCAGCCTCGGCGCGGAGATCATCGGCGGCGCCGCCATCTCGTCCACGGAGACGCCCGTGACGGCGAGCTCCCGGAGGCCCGGCGCGTCCACCTCCACCGCCTTCACGTCGGGGAGGCCCAAGAGCTTGAGCGTCAGCCTGCGCAGCCGCGGGCAGCATGCCGGCGACGAGAAGAGGTCGCAGAGGCGGCGGCCGTTGACGTCGTCGACTTTGACCGTGCTGAGCCGGACGTCGGTGAGCGCGGCGAACGCGCGGTCGGCGGCGGCGGCGGCGGCGGTCGGGACCGTGAGCTCCGCGTAGGCTAGCCAGAGCCGCATCGACTTGAACCTCGCCGAGCTCGGGAGCTCGGCCTGGCGCCTCTGCCTTGGCAGGGTGGGCACGTCGAGCCTGAAGTCGCCGGTGACATGGCGCTCGGCGAAGCGGAGCCACGCGGCGACGTGCTCCGACTCGATGTCGTCGGCGTGGTCGTGCCAGTCGCCGTCGAACGCTGATCTGCCGCCGCCGCCGCCGTCGTTGGGTGATGAACTGAAGACGAAGGAGATCTTCAGCGTCTCAACGTCGGCGCCGTCGATGGCGCGCCGCGCGAGGACGGAGTCCACGGCGGCGACGAGCCGGCTGCCGGTGTCAGCACGACGAGACGACGTCGAGGGCGGCGGCGCCGGCTCGACGGCGAAGCGGAGGCATGGCGCGGCGCTCCAGAGGTGGCGCCACCGCCTCGACAGCACGGTGGTCCGCGCCACGTCGCTCGCCGCCGGCAGGAAGCTGAGGATGTGGAGGAGCACGTCGTCGGAGAGCTCGCTGATGAGGTCGACGGCCGCCGCCGCCGCCGGCGAAGTTGTCATCTTCTTGCGCCTGCGCATCTTCCTGGAATCCATAGATCGCGATGGAGATCATGGACACGTAGACCGGTTTTAGTTTGTAAAATATGAGAGGAATTCGGATTCAAATGCAGTTCCCAACTTCCCATGCCTATTTTGTAGCTACCACAATGGTTAGAGTTTCGTAATTTGTAAAAGAATTTTTTTACTATACCAAATTAATCGATGTTGATCCAAGGTCATGTATTGCTATCAATAAAGGCAATTGATGTGAATTACTATAGTATTAAAGCACGGAAAGAAACATGTTTCCAAATTTTAAAATCAGAATTCGCTCTCTATAGAAATTTTGCCATTGTTCCAAAAATCATTCCGGTAATTAAGACTGTAAATATCAATACAATTTGTGGTATATATCAAGACTGCGAACGATTTTTTTTTTGTTTTCTACTATTTACTTTCTGCAGTTCGCATAGGAAGATTCAAACTAATTTGCACGTATGTATTTCACTTGTTTTCAATTTGTTTCATATTGCATCAAAACATGACTTGGAAATACACAATCATTTTAAATTAATTTAAAATGATGTTATACATGTCATTTTTTGTTCAAATATTTTAAATTATCGTATTTTAGGGAGTGGGGCGGAGGTGGATAAGGGGAAGAATATGACTCCACTTGTGACGACGGCGATGACAGCAATGATAGCGAGCTCCTCTTCTCTTTTGATGTCGTGGATGTGGTGGTGAGCTAGGGTAGAATTAAGAAATTAGGGTGGGTGTTAGGGTAGGAGGAGAGAATAAGGGAGAGGGAAGAAGAGCGGTTCCCAAGGCAATCGACACAGATTGCTACTTGATTCACCAGTTTTTCTTGTGTGAAAGTAGTTTGATTCAGTTCAACTCTACACTACAGAGCTTCCCAACAGTATTTTTTTTAAGGGAAAACAGCATGAGATTGCGCCATTTCATTGAATATATCAGGAGAAAAATACAACCCTAGGAGTAAAAAGGAAAAATGTCAACACAGTTGTACACTATACAAGATACGGTAGAAGCTCGCGTAGTCGCTTAGCGCTAGCTAGAATCCACAGTCTAGCCTCTTGATTTTGGCAATTAGGTATAGCGCCGTGGACTCCTTGTGCTCGAAGATCCGCTGGTTCCTTTTCTTCTAAATTTCCCACACAACAAGGAGGATGAGGGTGCGCAGTCCCTTCTTGGGGACTCTTGCCGTGTTTGCCAGACTTTCCCACTAATCCTAGACCGACTGAGCGGCCTCCCCTGTAGTTTTGAGTAAGTCGATCCAACTCTCTATGCATAATAACCCAAGATGTCAGCTCTTCGTGTTTGTGCAGCCGTGCATACACTGGTGGAGAAACCCTTTGTAGTCCCGGTTCGTAACCCCCCTTTAGTCCCGGTTTCCAAACCGGGAGTACCAATCCGGGACTAAAGATCGCTATCTTTAGTCCCGGGTGAAATAACCGGGAGTAAAGATCGATCTTTAGTCCCGGTTGGTGTTACCAACCGGGACTAAAGATCGAGCTGACCTTTTTTTTTTTGCATGGCCCTGTTGCTGCATGGTTTATATATATATATATATATATATATATAAACCATGCATATATATGTTTCAATACATATATATGCATACATATATATATGTATATATATATATATTATATTATATTATATGTATATACATGCATAATATATATGTATTTATACATATATATGTTATGCAAATGCATATGTATATAGATATATATATGACCAAAATATATTTACATTATAGAAAATGTGTACGCATGCATATAGAAACATATGTAGTCATGTATTAATTACAATCCATTATATGTCCTAGCTAGCTACGATTTCGACGTAGTAGTACTCGCTGCTAGCTCAGAAGCTAAGGACCGGTGAATTGTGTTTCCGTCGTAGTAGAATTCACCCTTGGGATCAAGGATTTCTTCGTTGATGAATCCCATGAGTTGTTCTTGAACCGCCGCGATAAATTCCTTGTGTGTGGTCAGGTTATCCCTCATGCGAATAAACTATATGAATGTATGAAATTGATTAGTAATTAAACAAGAAATCGCTACGTAATGAAAATTTGAATTTATTTGTACGTACATCGAGCTCTCTTGCGGTGATGATTTGGTTTGCAAGGCAGTGGCAATACTCGCACACGTAATAGCCGCACAAGTTAGTTCCCTGCTTTTGCTTTGCGCACTACAAATAAATGACAAACAACGAGAGATCTAATTAATATACACTTGTATGTATTTGAATCGGAGAAATATAAATGTAGAGCATGTGTACTCACAGGAAATTTGAACTTCCGCCTAAGTCTTTCTCTCCATTTGCCGCGGACCAAATGACGGAACCGATACCAAGCCCTACATGGAGTTTAAAGCTATGATTCGTAGTAGCAATTAACATAACAAGATTTTCTTAATTAACAAAGGAACTTATGACGGTACCTGTCTATAAGTTCGAAAACCTTGTCAAACGTAGACTCTTTTTTATCCATTGAGTCATATACGTTGACGGTGCAGGCATCCAGGTCGAAGAGTAAAAGCACCCAGTGGAATCTGCAATGTGCGTGGGATGCATTACATATGAAACACTTAGCAAGTTCGTACGGGAATGAAATTTGGTATGTAGGAAGACAGTAAAATTAAACTAACTCTGTGTTGTATGGCAACAGTATGAACGTCTTGTAATGCTGCGCCTTCAGGAGATGGACGAGATTGTCCTCTGTTTCTTGTGGATATTGGTCGAGCATTGCGACGTTTACTTTCCGAGGGTCGATGAATCCAGTATCGAAAACCCTCCGCCGTCGGGCCCTTTGAATCTCCATTCTACAACGATAAAAGGGAGTATATTATTTTCTATAGTCTACTTATATACAAGGACCTAATTAATTAAAGGAGACGTATAGTAAGAAATCTAACTGAACGATATACTTACAAAATCCAGCAACTCATAATAGAGACGTCGAGGGCATCCAGCTGGTATAGTTCGTAGATTCCCCTGAAATTGATCCAGAGAATGTCATCTCCTTGCAAGAAGTCCGTGTCCCTGATCCTCGCTCCGATCATCTCTCTACCGGTGGCACTCATCTCCATGTACAGCTGATGGAACTTGTACATTTGTGTGGGTAGGGACTGCAGCAGCTCAGGCTTGACAAGCGGTTTACCGAGTTCGTACATGTATTTCACTTCCGCCTTTTCGATTGGTGCGACTCCTAGCAATTGATCCGTAGTTAGACCGGTGTCAGTAATAAATTGTTCTATCGTCATTTCTTTACCGGTCACCAACGGCTCGATCTCCTGGTTTGGTTGCTCTCCAAGCTGAGGGACTGGTTTGGACTTTCCAGAAGATGCTTTCTTCAGCGTTCGCTCATAGTCCGATAGCTTGATGGCCTCCTTGACAGATGCAGACATACCCCTGAAGAAGTTCCTGACACTGGGGTCTATAGGAATCTTCTTTTCTGGACTTCGAGGCTTGAATTGTCTCTTGACTTCTGATGCAACGTAAGCGTCAAGCTCCTCTTGCGTGCAATCGTACCCCGGGTCCTTGTTCTTGGCGGCGTCAACTTTCGCCTTCTTCGTTGCCCTTGTGTGGGCAGGCGGTGGAGCTGGGGGGGCCCTTGATTTTGAAGGTGCCGGAAGAGGAGCTTGCGGGGGAGTAGGTGTAGGAGCACGAGGAGGAGTCGGTGCAGGATCCTGAGGAGGAGTCGATGCTGGAGCCTGAGGTGGAGACGGTGCTGGCGGAGCATGAGGAGGAGACGGTGCATGATCCTGAGGAGGAGATGGCGGAGCCGGAGGAGATGGTGCACGAGACGCCGCTTGTCGCCCAGGGAGGATGATGTACCGCCTGCGCCATAGAATAATGGCATGGCATGTGTCTCGTAGATGCGTCTCACCGTCTCCTCCAGGGTAATCCAGCTCGAGGTCCTCGTACGCGCCTTCGACCAACTCAACTTCGACCTTCGACTATCCTGCTGGAATTGGCCTGCAGTGGTAAGTACCTGAAGGGTCCGTTGGGATGGCCATGCCCGACGCTACCTTCATGTTGTGAGAGATTATTTATTAGTAATCAACATATATAAGCAGCAAATAGCGGAATGGCTAAATCTTACCTTTATTGATAAGTTCTTGAAAGGAATATGCAGCTCACATGGTGTCCGCTGAGTGATGTCATCAACGGGACAGGTCGATTCGTCCTGTGTTTGCATGGCGTCCATGCTCTGTGATCCTACCTGCCCCGTTGAGGCACAGCTGCTACGGTTTCCTGACGGGCTCACCATTGCAGGAGGAATGGTCGGCTGGGGATCATGGGACCGATGTGCGGCCATGCGTTCATCAACCTTCCTTGCCACCTCCTCTTGCATGTTGAGTTCGTAGCTCGATACCCGGAACTCTAGGTCTGCAATCTTCGCCTCGGTATCTCTCTTGCTCCTCATCCGACTCCTGTACGTGTGGATGTTCTCCTTGAAACCAATCTTCCAAGGAATCACCCCTTTCCCTCGTGTTCGTCCTGGATGCTCTGGAGTCTGCAGGGCGAGTGTCAGCTCGTCCCTATCTCTGTCTGGTCGGAACGTGCCCTGAGAGGAGGCTTCCACTGCATCTGTTAGTCGTCGCGCAGCCTCTCGTATCTGATCGCCGAAGACCAGTGAGCCATCAGCTGGGTTGAGCGTTCCACCGTGAGCATAGTACCAGAACTTCGATCGTTCCGGCCAATTGGCTGTTGCCGGTTCGATACCCCTCTCAATCAAGCTAGCCTCCATCTGCTCCCACTTCGGCATCGCGACGCTATAGCCTCCTGACCCCAAGTGGTGATGGTACTTCTTCTTGGCGGCATTTTCTTTGTTTCTTTCCATCATCGCCTGCCCTTGTTCACCTGTCTTATATGCAACGAACTTGTCCCAGTGATCCCTTAGCTTTGGGAATGTGTCGAAGTTCGGTGTCTGCCCCTTCAGTATATACTTCCGGTACAGATCTCCCTTGAAGCTCTGAAACTGTTCTGCCATTTTCTTCAGAGTCCACCTTTTCACT